TGGTGCTGCATGCCTTTAATCCCAGCACATGGGAGGCAGAGCCAGGTGGATCTCTGTGAGGTTGAGGCCAGGCTGGTCTACAGAGCAAGATTCAGGACAGGAACCAAAACTACACAGAGAAACCTGTCTCAAAAAACAAAACAAAACAAAACAAAACAAGCAAACATCATTGTCTAATACACAACACATCCAGGACATCCATTTTTCCTGATATAAGGTAAATGTCTTTTTTCTCATTTCTTTTTGATATCTGCATTCTTTCTGAATATAGATGAGATGCCAGGAGATTCTAGAGGACCTCATAAGAAAAGGAGATGGCGAGGGAATTGGAGTGAGGAAGCGTATGCTGATTCTGAGACAGCCTCTCTGCACTAAATCACAAAAGGGTTAACTCCTATATGACTGCTTTATAACACAAGTTACTTCTGCTTTGAATATATACTTATTCAGCTATGGAAACTTTAGTTCAACACACTGGGAGCTAATATATAACTGCCATTATTAAGCACAATTATAAGATTAGAAATTGAGACTTAGGAAGTTTAATAAGTATCCCCATAATACTTCATCCCTTAATTGGTTCTATTTTGAACTCTATAAATACATGTTGAACACAAATTATATGATATTGTTTTAGAACATAGTGTGATAAGTGTATGTATCGTCAGGAACAGTATTCTCAATAAGGTCACCTCAGAGCCTTTGACAGAATAGCAAAAGTAATCATCTCCAATCTAAGGGCACACAGCTTGGATTTTTCTGGAAAAAAAATCTCTTAAAAACCAATTGGGAAATGCTTATTATAGGTATATAGGCCAGTAGGCAAGAAAACTGGTCAGAATATTGTTGGATTATTTCAGGTAATGGGGAGGAAATCATTGTTTACAGTAACAAAAACCAGTTGTGGAGAGGGAATGTTTAAGGAGAAATGAAACAATAAAACTGTACTTACAGCTGAGGTGTGAGACAGAAAAAAAAGTGAACTCTTGTGTATTTATTATTTAATAGCAAAGAATGTTGAAATTGCAAGGAAAGAATAAAAAAATGACCAAGAACTGCTATGCTTCTGATGTTTCTCAGGTAGAAGCTGATCAGTACATGTATGAGTTAAACTGGCATGTAAGCTCTAGATATTGAAGACAAAGGACAGGAACGCACACAGGAATTAAAAGAGAAAAATGTGTAAATGAAGGAAGGGATAAAGGAGTGAAGTAAGGAACAAATGAAGTAATGAATGAGTGAATGAAAGAAATGGAACAAGAGAAAGAGTGAAAGAAAATGAGTAAAAAGATATATATATATATATATATATGTATATATATATATTATTTACAACAATCCTTTGTTTTTCATGACAACAGATTAAAGTAATATCAGCAATGCATGCAACGATGAAGAAACTTTCACGCAACAAATGGTATGAGAACCAACCTTGTTTCTAGACTGTGCAGAGAAGCCATGAAAATGATAAGCGCCCTTGGGACTCAACCAGAATATAGCCATTTCAAGAGTGGGGAAAAAAAAAAACAACCTAAAACCTAGATATCTGGCAGAGATAATAATATGTTCTTTACAAATTATTATACTGGTATTTTTTGTGTCTGTGCTATAACATGTGATACTGGTAATATACTGGACACCTCATAATTCAGCTCCAAGCCATAGAAATTGTAACAGCATTTGGAGGCTGCTGGCAAGGAGACTGTGAGACAGACAGCTTTCCATGTGCTGCATTCCTCTACAATTTCTCTACGGTAGTAATGCCATCTGACATTGAAATACAGCTGCTGGTATTGAAGCTGGCCCTTCAAAGAAATTGAAGCAGACATAGAGAGATTTTCACCATAAAGGGAAAACCAAAGCAGAATTGATGGCATGGAAGAAATAAAAAAAAAAAAGTAAACCTTGAACCTTTGCTATCTTGAAAATCCATGAGTGATGATGACTCTTTCTCATGATGGCTTCTGCATCCAAGGAATCAAGATGTTTACTTACTGGCCTGTTCATGAACATCAACTAGGGCTTTTTTTTTGTATTGGAAAAAAATGAATATTTTATGTTTAATTTAGTTGATAAACAGGATGATATAAAATAAAACTATACATATATATTCCTCATTAAGTACCATAGGAGTCTCACCAAATGAGCTATACATAGCAATTGAATTTTTGAGATATAGAAAATTTAACTTGAATTCAGTGGTGCATTAATGAGAACCCAGGAATACACGTGAATAATGAATACCATAGTTAGGGTTTTTATTACTGTTGTGAAACACCATATTTGAAATCAAGTTAAGGAGAAACTGTACCTTGTATACCTTTCATATCACTGTTAATCATAAAAGTAATTCAGGGCAGGAACACGCAGGCAAGAGCTGACACAGGAACTGTAAAAGAATGTTCCTTACTGGCTTGCTTATGATGGCTTGCTCAGCCTGCTATGTTACAGCGGTCAGGACCACTAGGGCAGGGGTGGTACTACGCGCAATGGCCTGGGCCCTCCCACGTCAATCACTAATTAAAATGCCCTAGACTGAGAAAACTCTTAGATGGAGATAAACTCAGACTTCGAAAAGGTGAATGATAGAAATGTAAGCTAAGATTAACTGTGGCTGATGACTTGCAGACAGAGTGTTTTGTTTTATGTGTAATATTGTGGAGGAACACTTGTACACCACCACACTGGAAAAGAAACTCAGATAAAAGGGAAAGTAAAAGACAATCACAGTTTGTAATAAGGTGGCAACAGTAACAGTGGTAACTGAAGGACTAATAAATAATAGATATTTGGCTTGAAGAGTGAGCAGCCTATCACTCTGCCTCAGAGTGCAATTGTTGCAGACAGGACACTTAGAGCAGTGGTTCAGAACCTTCCCGATGCTGCGACCCTTTCAGATAGTTCCTTATGTTGTGGTGACCCCACAGTCATGAAACTACTTCCCTTGTTACTTCACAAGTGTAATTCTGTTACTGTTATGAATCATAATAAAATATATGTGTTTTTTGGTGGTCTTAGGCAAGCCCCCTGAAAGGGTCCCTTAAACACAGAGGAATTGAAACTCACAGGTTGAGAATCACTGCCCTAGAGGTTTGTCTACAGCTGGATCTTAAGGAAGGATTTCTCAACTAAAGTTCTCTCCTCTCAGATGACTGTAGCTTGAGTCAAGCTGACATAAAACTAGCCAGCATAGTGATTATCTCCAGTCAAGCAGCAAGATGTTGAACTGTTGGCAAGGGTAATTTTACGTGTGTGTGTGTGTGTGTGTGTGTGTGTGTGTGTGTGTGTGTGTGTGTGTGTGTAAAATTTGTTCATCAACTTATTCTAGAAATCTCACTAAGATACATAAAATCTCAGCTATAAACAATGTGATGCCACATTAGAGCCATTATATAACCAAGCTTCATGACATCTCTATTGGAGTTAATAAACCAGGGAGTGCATATACCTTTGTGACAAGATGAAATCATATGATGTAAATAAGCAAACTTCAGGTATTCAGTTTTGGCTTAAGCAGAATGAAAAGTAAATTACCATGAAGTAAATAGGTCATGAGAGGAATGGAGGAAAACTCCATGTTTGTCAGGATAATGTAGCAAAAACATACACACAAAAATTACCCTTATTTCCCAGTTACTGTATAATACAGATTTTAATCTTACATACATGAGATATGAGAGTCTTGATTCGTGAGACTTGTCCAGTGGCTCTATTTCTGGTGGCATCCTTAATTAAGTGTCTGGAACCCTTCCATTGTGCAACAAACCACTTTAGGTTGTCCACATCTAGCCATTCTGAAAAGGGAAATGTGATGGACTGTAGTGACTGCTTCTCATTAGGGTCTTTGTTTAATTTGCTTCTGCTGACAATTAAACAGAAATTAGCCACATGTGCCCACCTGCATGAAAAGAATTGGAACCAAACAATTTCCTATATGCTCAGGAGGAATATAAAATAATTTGATGAAATTGTAGTACTTTTTTTTCTGCCACATGCTCCAATTAAGGCCCAAAATTGGTGAAATGCATGATAAAAATATACTTTTCCCCAAAGGTATTAGACTTTACCAACATATCGACTTCAGAACTGAAAATATGCATAAGAAGAATCTCATTATTAGTGGTTGAGTGTCTATGTAATGCTTTTAGAAATGAGAGATGACATTTAATTAACTATTTGTAAAAGAGAGCATCAATAATTACTGTTTAATTGTTCTTATAAATCTCAGCTACAGATTAGAAGATGCATGATAATTGTTAGCAATTAAGATTTCATCAGATTGAACTCTCAACATAAGATCTGGGAAGTGACCAACAAAGAGATGTCAAAGCACCTGTACAGACTGTGCAACGTTCATGTGAATCACATTTATCTCTTGGCCCTCAGAATCTCTCTACACAATCACAGAACAAGGGGTTGCTTTGGGTCTCAAAAATTATAATTAAGTTAGACAGGTGTACTGAAGATCTCAACGATTCACTTGTCTTTCTCTCATTCCAATGCTTAATTATACAGGAATTTAAACTCAAGATCACTGGTCCATTTGAAAAAAATTGATCACATTATGGTCAGGAAGTTTCAGAAAATGGTTAACTTGAGTCTTTTTATGGTACTAGGGAAGTGGCTGAGAGCTTTATATCCTAATAAGGTCCTTAGATAGCAGGAAGAGAGTGAGAACCTGGACTTGGCATAAGCTTTTGAAACCTCAAAGCCCAACCCCAGTGACACACAACTTCTAATTATGTGACACCTACTCCAACAAGTATAGAACTCCTAATCCTTCCCCAAAACCTGGGGACTAAGCATGTAGATATATGTGCCTGTGGAAGCCATTCTTTTTCATACAATCACAATCTACTCCCTGACTCCCATAGGCTCGTAGCAATATCATAATGCAAAATGCATTCAGTCCAACTTCAAAAGCTCCCATAGTCCATCAGTCTCAACACTGTTTAAATGTTCAATGTCTCTTGAATGGTATCAAAAATGGAATCTTTTTTTTTTAATGGGTCACTGAGGCTTTTATTTTGCATGTAGAACTGCTGGGGCAGGGATCTTAACCTGCGGCCACCCTAAAGATTACACTGGGCTCCAGACACTTAGCTTGGAAGTGAGGTGACAGAAACAATGATTCAGACCAATCACATGATTACAAGGCTGGGGTTTCCAGCAGGCTCAAGGTGGTCAGGTGTGGCTGTCTAAGGACGTCTAAGGAAGCAGTGTCATGGGAGGGACATGTGCTGGGCCAGCTTTGAGCCGCCTCGTTGACATCAGGGACAGGGTCGAAGCAGCCGGTGGCTCCAGGGATCTCCACACACATTTTACTTGGCCAGGGGTTTCCTGAAGCACCTGCCGGCAGACTTGGCCTTGCAGCCCAGCTCTTCCTCGATTCTAAGGATCTGATTGTACTTGGCCAGGCGCTCAGATCGGCATGGGGCACCGGTCTTGATCTGCCCAGTGCAGAGAGAGTCCCACCACCAGGTCAGCGATGCAAGTATCCTCAGTCTCCCCAGAGCGATGCGACACCATGACGCCCCAACCATTGGACTGGGCCAGCTTACACGCCTGCAGAGACTCGGTCACAGAGCCAATCTGGTTCACTTTGAGCAGGAGGCAGTTGCAGGACTTCTCACTCACAGCCTTGGCAATCCTCTTAGGGTTGGTTACTGTGAGATCATCCCCAACCACCTGGATGCCTGCACTGGCTGTGAACTTCTTCCAGGTCTCCCAGTCATCCTGGTCGAAGGGGTCTTCAATGGACACCACTGGATAGTCCCGGATGAAGGACTTATACAGGTCAGCCAGCTGGTCAGGTGTGATGTACCTGCTGGCATCATCGAGAGATTTGAAGTCCAGGTCGTACTTGCCAGACCGGAAGAACTCGGAGGCGGCCACATCCATGCCAATGACAACCTGGTTGGTGTAGCCAGCCTTCCCAACTGCGTTCTTCAGCAGCTCCAGGGCTTCTTTGTTCTCCAGGATGTTGGGTGCATGGGGAAGGGTGTCTCAAAGGCTGTTGAGCACATCAATAAAACTATCGCACCTGCTCTGGTTAGCAAGAAACTGAGTGTTGTGGAACAAGAGAAGATCGACAAACTCATGATTGAGATGGACGGCACTGAAAATAAATCCAAATTTGGTGCCAACGCCATCCTGGGAGTGTCCCTGGCTGTCTGCAAAGCAGGTGCCGCAGAAAAGGGAGTACCCCTTTACCGTCACATCGCCGACTTGGCTGGCAACCCTGAGGTCATCCTGCCGGTTCCAGCTTTCAATGTGATCAACGGCGGTTCTCATGCTGGCAACAAGCTGGCCATACAGGAGTTCATGATCCTCCCTGTGGGGGCGTCCAGTTTCCGGGAAGCCATGCGCAATGGGGCAGAGGTTTATCACAACCTGAAGAATGTCATCAAGGAGAAATACGGGAAGGATGCCACCAATGTGGGTGATGAGGGTGGGTTCAAAAATGGTATTTTAACTGTAACTCCCTATAAAATCAAAATCCAATTACATATTTCCAACAACCTTCAAATCATTTATCTCTGTGTCAGATGGTAAAGGAGTTAAATAGCTAGTCATGTCCTCCACTCCTATCTTCGTGACTGCAACACACTTCCCTCTCTGTGGCTGTCCTTGTCAGTTATCGCATGCTCTGGTATCTCTAACATGTCTCCAAAGTAATCCAGACTTCACCTTCACAGTTTAAAACAATGGCTGCTCCATGTCTCCATGTAGGAACTCCCCTGCCTTATACCTGATCTCCCTGGCTTTCCCTAATCAGAGAGGAAGATTCCACAGACCCTAGCCTCTAAATCCTAAACCACAATGCCTAAATTGCCAAAGTTCTTCTGCTTGCTGGTGCTAGAAACTGTCTCCCTCTTGGCTTACATTTGCATAAGCTTTTTGTTGTTATTTAGGCCTAGGAAATCCTCCAAGGATTTTCATTTCACATGTTGCAAGTTTAGCCTGGAGAGATCCCATTTAATATCAGGTTTTTCTTTAAGCAACCCATCTTCTTGATCACAAGATTTGGCTCCAACATTAAATTTCCTTGTACTCCTTTTCTCCTTCAAACTGTATATTTTTTATTTCTCTTTGTCATGTTTGTTCTGTTTCATTGTAGATCTGCATAAATGACCATTAATAACCCTATGAAAGTCAAGAGTAGGCTATCTTGAAATCTTCTCTGCCAAACACATTAGTCCAAAACTCTTCCATATTGTAGCATGAATCTTAAATGGTCTTATTAATAAAATCAAATCCAGGGCCAAGTATTGGGGTGACTGCTGAAAGATCAGAGAAGCAGAACAAGCCACAGCTATCTCACCTCACCAGTTCTTCAGTTGATCCTGTTTCCTTAGACTGGATGCCTCTCAGCTGAACTGTGCTGCTCAAAAGCCTGAATGCTTAACCAGCCAAATGCTTCTAGATTTCTGGTCCTCACGCCTTGTATACCTTTCTGCTTTCTACCATCACTCCCTGGGATTAAAGGTGTGAATCATCATGCTTGGCTGTATCCTTGAACACATGGGTTTCTGCCTCTGAAATGCTAGGATTAAAGGCATGTACTGCCACTGCCTATCCTCTATGTTTAATATAGTGGCTGTCCTGACTCTGACCCCAGATAAGTTTATTAGGGTGCGCAATATTTCAGCGAACACAATACCACCACAAAATATAGCATCAGACATGTTTAGGACAAAGATAAAAAGCAGCTACATCCTTTGCCAAAATAGCACAAGGATGGCCTCTAAGCCAGTGGCTGTTATTTTTCCCTTGGAAATCTCTCACACTGGGCCTGAATAGTGCACATTACTCTCAGAACTCCTGTCTTCCAGGCTTCTAATAGGGTGGTCTATTAAGCCTCATTTAAAGCACTCTACCACTATTCTAGTCCAAAATCCCAAATGTGTCCATATTCCTCCAAACAAAAGCAAGACCAGTCTCTGATACTAACTTCTGTTTAGTCAGTGTTCTAATGCTATGAAGAGACTCCATGACCAAGGCAACTCTTACAAAATAAAGCATTTAATTAGAGGCTTGCTTATAGTTTTAGAATGTTAAGTCATCATGGCAGGAAGCAGACAGGCATGGTGCTAGAGCAGTAGCTAAGAGCTTTATAGCCTGATGTAATCTGCAGGCAGCACACAGAGAGATGGAGGGAGGTGGGAGGGGAAGAGGATGAAGGAGAGGAGGGTGGCTGGAACTGGCATGGGGTTTTGATATCTTAAAGTTCACCCCAAGCAACATACTTCCTCCAATAAGGTCACATCTCCTAATCCACCCCAATTATTTCCACTCTCTGCTGACTGAGAATTCAAATATATGAGTGTATGGGGGCTATTCTCATTAAAAACCACTATAAGGTTTATGCTAGAAAACTGACGTAAATGAAGATGCACAGGATTTCAAGAAAATTAATTTACATGAATTAATTTAGTCTAATATATGTTCCCTTTAGCTAATGTCTTAAAAATCAAAAATAGATTTTAGATTGTTATATGAATTAATAGATTTCTGTTATTTTGCTTGAGTACATCTACTCTTACTCTATTTAGGTCTATTTGGTTTTAGATCTTGGTGGATTTAGATTTTGTCATCTTTCAATTTAATAAAGTTCCCTTTTTAAATTTAATATATTTTAAATTAAAGTATAATCATATCATTTGTAATAACCTTTTCCTCCATCCAATGTTTTCCACGTCCCTTCCCTGAGACCCCTCCATTACTCCTATCTCCCAAATTAATGGCCTCTTCTTTGTTTTATTATTGTTACATATATAGAGTGGTCCATAAATATATAAACAAAATCTGCTCAGTCTATTTCCTTTCTGTGGTGTGTGGGTGTGTGTGGTGTGGTGTGTGTATGCTTTAATGGCAGAACATTCTGTATTGGATAACCAACTGAGAGGCTTAACCCTAAATCCGCCCCCCCCATAGTCATTTACTCTTCAGTTGCCTGTAGTTCTTTGTGTGAGGACTCGATTCTTAGACTTTTTCTCCTTTCCCTTTAGCATATAAATTGATGCTTTAGTGGTTAAGAACTTGTTTAGGTACTTGTTTCTAGACTAAAGTGTCTTAAAGTATATTTCCTAGTCCTCTGGCTCTTACAATCATTCTAGCTCTTCTTTCTAATTGTTGTCTAAGCTTTAGCTTCGGTAGTTGTGATGAAGATGTTGGAGTGGACTAACTACAATCTACTGATCTCTACATTATGGCCAGTTATGGTTTCCGTGATAATCTACATTTGTTGTGAAGAGAAGTTTCTTTGATGAGGAGTGAAAGCCAGATTTATTGTGAGTATATGAATAAGTAATGTAGTAAAAATTATGTTGGCCTAGTAAAGTGCTGGTAATACGCTATCTCTAAGATTAATGATTTCACTAACCATGGATAGTTGATTAAATTTCCAGTACCAAGCAAGGTTTCCCATCTGTTGAGAGGACCATAAGTCCAATTACACAACTATTCATTACTGACAAGTTATGAATGTCACCATTGTGCATTTAGGAATATCTTCTCATGTTTGCCAGTGTTGTAGTTCATATTTATTATATTTATCATATTTATTATAATTACTTGAGTCTTTATCAAACAACTTTGATATTATTTGTCCCTACTCCCTGTTCCTATATTGGGTTTCTGCCTCTTCAATTGGAGCCTATCTATTTTTCCCATTGTCTTTTCCTATCATCTGTACCCTGCTCTTCCCATCTCTAATCTGCTCCACGAGGTCCTTTTAAAGTTTTCTGGTTTCTGAATTTATCAGTGAAGCTTTGTTTTACACTGTCACTTGAAATCTTGAGCTAAAGTGATGCTTTTCTGATCCAGGGACCATTCCCAATCTTTCTGACTAAACACTAGTGGTAAAAACAGGTATACTGTTAACTCTCTACTTTCATTTAAAATATATGGTATTCTCCAATTTTAAATCCAAATACATTTGAATATAGAATAATATTTACAAAATAGTGGCAACTAAAGAAACTGAGTGGCTATCTGCTGTCTCCACTTATTCTATTACCTGAATGAGGGCCACTGAAGAAAGACCAGAGTATCTCTATGGGGTCATGGGGTCTTTTCTTCACTTCATGTCTGAAGCCCTCTTTATCTTACAGTTTATTATTTGTGTTTTGTTTGCTGCTGGGTAAGACACACAAATAGCAGAGATTACATTAGAAAACCATAAAAGATATCAGATAATGGCAGCATTATTTTTCTAATATAGTAAAAGGAGATAGCACAGTAATAAAAAGTGGAAATGTGCCAGAGTTTATATAAACTGAGAAAGATCTGTGGGAGATACTACGTTCTCATACCAACTTTCAGCTTTTCAGAAAGCAAGCAACAATGGCATGGAATGATAGATGCCATAGTTGGGGAGCCTGTGAAGAGTGAAGTGGTAGCCTGCCTGGCTGCCGTACTCTACAAAGCCAGTGCAGGAGCTTTATAAACAATGTTCAAAAACAATTGTAATTGCAATGTAAGGATTACTTAAAGAACTGTTTCAGCACCCAGCAATCCCACTACTTCCAGTTTGAATAATTGGAAGATGAGTAGAGAATGTTCTACCTACAGGCCAGCATAAGTAGAGAGGGGGGAAAATGAATGTCAAATAGGATTAATGAGCACATTAAGACTCAGTCGTGCCTCTAGAAAGTACTACTGTAGGGGAATCAACAGAGAAATCAAATGAAAACATTGCATCAGTACTTCCTGTACTTTGCAACTGGAAATCAGTGTGTTAAAATAAGTTAGACTTGGAAAGTACATATCTTATTTTTCCTCATATTTGAACTTCAGATTTTAAGTTATCCATATATATGTATATACAGAAATATGTTTGTGTACCTATATGTATGTATTTGTGTCTAAGTGTGTGTGCATGTGTATGTGTGTGTGGGGGGTAGGTAGGTAGGTAGGTAGGTAGGTAGGTAGGTAGGTAGGTAGCTAAGAGAGCAAGGAAGAGGATGGCAAGAGAGGAGAGACTGTGGGGAGTTAGATCCTAGAGGTGAGGTGAAAGAGAAAGTGTGATAAAATGCATCTGCATTGTCGCAGCAGAAGCTGAGATGAACTGAATGGAGAGAGCAAATGAGATGGAATGGGGCACAGCAGAGGGCAATGGAGAAGAAGGAAAAAGGAGAACAGAAAATTCATATGGGCATGAAGATGCTCCAGTATTAGCTAACCGAAAGTCAGTGGAAGAAGAAAATAAACGAAAAGTGAAGGTTGAGCACAAGGTGCTGACATTCCAGAAAGTGGGAACTTTTCATTTTCTCTGCTGGACTTCAAGGCCAGAATAGTAGCATTGTAAACAGCTTTCAAAAAGTAATTTTAATAGCAATTATTGGGAAAATAGTTTATAAATAAATAAAGGCTATCCAATCATTATTTAATATTAATTAACAAGTGCAAATTTTAGCCCAGATATTTATTTCCAAACATTCAAATGACTACAAGAAATGCAATATTTTTTTTATTATTATTATCTATTTTACAATACTATTCAGTTCTACATAATAGCCACAGATTCCCTTGTTCTCTCCCTTCCTGTCCCC